CAAAACAAGAATTAGTTGGTTTTAATTCCTTTCAAACTGACCCCCCATTTTGACAATACACCTTTGTTAAAATATCAATGAAGTGTGAATAATAAACGGACCTTGTGCAATANCGGGCATTAAAAGTAAATAATTCTTTTTTTAGAAACATTCACATGTACCTTATCAATACTATCACTGTAGACTTGGGTTCAGCATTAACACTTTTTGTTTATACTGATAGACACTGATGAACACAACTGTTGCTGTTTTATTCAGTATAAATAAAGGTCTGCGCATGTTACTTGCACTTTAATTGTAATCTCATATATTCTGTTAACACAGTAGTCGTTGTGTCCTCATTGCTAATACAGTAACACTACATTTAAAGTCTGCTGCATGTTACTAGCACTTAAATTATAGTCTCGTATACTTTTTATTATAAAATGGTAGTTACGTGTTGTTATTTACACGTTCATTGTAGTCTCGTGCTTACTATTAGCCACATAAAATTCACTATTAACAATGCGTAGTATTTTCACAAGTCCAATATTCTGTACTCCTCTTGTTTCAACTAATTGACTATCTAATTTCGTCCAACTCCTCTTCCACATCAGGTTGTGTTCGGGCAGGTTATGTACTATTGGACGACGGACCTCTATGTGTGAAGAAACACGACAATGCCTTAACATGGAACGACGCAAAGACGCAGTGTGAACAAGATCATGGCCGACTTGCCGTTATTGACAACGCTCAAAAGTTTGAGGCATTTGTCAATTATTTAGGTAAATGTTCGCTATAAATTGCTTTTCAAACATAAACTTCGCTTCAAATTGAGTAAAAAAACAACAACATGCAAAATACATATTTCGTGATGTTAACTCTTAGAAAAAGCTGCATTAATCTATTCTAATCTAGATAGTACGTTCTGTATTGTTTTGTGTGGAGTTTATACATGTTACATTTATTTAATACGATATAAATATATTATATGATTTGTGTCCCGTTCATGTCTCAAGTTCACAATCTCCGGTACAATGTATTAAATCGCCGTGCTGGGAAATACCCGTCCGCAGCTCTGATCATCACTCCTAGCTACCGCTTTTGGGTAGGTGTCGGTAATATAGGGGTTAAAGACGCTGGTTGCATCAATCAGCTATACCGCTTTACCAACATGGAACTTTATCTTAGCTTCGTATGAGTATCAATTTAAGAATAAAGAAAGACTACAAAAATATTTTTCCGTTTACAGAGAATATAACCTCTGCAGTATTATGGATAGGTATCAACGACAAGGACAGCGATGGATCATGGGTATGGCTTAATGGGGCCAGCCTTATCACCGCCTACTTGACATCCTATCAAATCAACAACTACAGTAGCGGGTATTCGGGGAATAAGTATACCGCCGACTGCGCCTGGATATCTGAAGATGGGCATCTTGCTGATGATAATTGTCTTATGACAAAGTCATATATGTGTGAGAGAGCAGACCTTGCTTAGTGTAATACGTTTAAATCATACGGAACAGGCCATTCAGGGATTCAATCTTATTTCCTGGAGCCTTCGAGCAATAGTCCAAGATAACGGACTATTTCCTTTTGATATTTTGATTGGGCGGAGATAGTCAGAACTTCCTCCTCATGGTCTCTGTTAAAACAATTGTTCAACATGTTCGGTTCGAAGTTCAATTGATGTTTCCTGGTATACCGGAGAATATCCGCAATACTTTCTGTACACAGATAGAAAGAGTATGTATAAGCTCTGCCAGTTCAACATTTCAATCTTCTTTCAAGCTGCCTAAATCTGTAGGAGCGAATTGTGTTTTATATTTCACTATATCATGCTACACACGAGGTATGTTTTAGATTTTACTATATCATGTTACACACGAGGAATGTTTTAGATTTCACTATATTATGTTACACACGAGGAATGTTTTAGATTTCACTATATTATGTTACACACGAGGTATGTTTTAGATTTCACTATATTATGTTACACACGAGGTATGTTTTAGATTTCACTATATCATGTTACACACGAGGTATGTTTTAGATTTCACTATATCATGTTACACACGAGGTATGTTTTAGATTTCACTATATTATGTTACACACGAGGTATGTTCCGTCGGACCTCTGTGGCATCGCGTTCAGTAACGAGACAAACAGACTAAATTGCCATAACTCGTGACGAAATATATCCTGTCCAGAAAAATATTTCCTTAAAGGTTCTAAATAGTCGTAGTTGATATTTGTATCAGCTCAGCGGCAGAGATAACACTTTTCATCCGTGTATAGTAAACATTGTGTATTTCTCCGATATACCAGAAATTAGTAAGTGTAGTGCTTACCAAACTCGGTGCGCGTTTTCATCACAGAGACCTTATGGAGGACGTTCAGACTATACCCGTCCCATCAAAAATGTTTATAAATAAAAGGTGAGAGTTGTTTCGGACTATCCGATCAATGACGCACAGTATCACATTGGGCGAATTTAATTCTGGTGTGCTGGTCGTGCCAGAAGTTGATGTAGATATATTTGCTATATTTAAAGAGAACCAGTTGTAAGTCAGCCGTAGTTGATAATATGGATTGAATATTTCTTTTAATGTTGAGTATACACGTGATAATTTGATTGGCAATACATACATTTAACATACATCCAAGTTATATGATATGTCATTCAGAATCACTTCTGAAGAGGTATATCCATTATGATGTCATACTCATTATATACTAATATAGGGTTTTAGCTGACAGCAGAGGGTTTTCTCGTCCTATAGTCAAATTAAAATCTGTGTAGCCTTGTATGTTGCAGCATAAGATTCTCAGGCAGGGTAGTGGGTTGCTTATATGACATGTGACATATATATGAATTACAAAAGAAATGTTAAGATTGATACTGTGCCCGCTCTTCCCTCATAAACATATAAGCACACACTATTTGATAAAAGTCAGTAAACAAATATATCATAAAATTGGGTTATCAAATTATGATGCGATGTCGCACATGCATATTGAAATACAGAAACTCAGTTGGATAAGAAGATACACTGGGAAAAGTAAATGTAATATAGCTAGTGGGAACTTGTTAGTATTGTCATTATACTATCGCTGTAGGTGGTTCAGTTATAATAAATGAGTAAATCCTTATCTTAATATGAATCTATATGTACCTAGGAAATAGAAGACATATGATAAAACCTCTATAAACGGCCTACGGACTATATCAATTGACCTAGAGGTCGGGGTTATCGGCCTGAATAATCATGTTAATGTAAAATCCTGGGTTTATGTGAGATGAAGACAGAAATTAATTGATAACTTTAAAGCATAGCGTTATGCGAACATCTACTTAAATAGCGTGAGGCTCTCGCACAGGTGAATGAAGGGGATTGCAGTGCTATCTGGGAGAGATTACTACCAATGACCGTCATATGTACCTTTTGACTGAGTAAGGGCCGACCCCACGACATCTGCTTGTGAACGTTTCGACGGAGATATTGGAAACATAACGACATACGGTTGTACAGTGTGTTTTCTTAGCATTTGGACGGATTAATGGACGACGTTACGACATCCGGTTGTTCGATTGTTTTTGGACCTTTGGAAGGAACTGACTTGTCAGTTTGTAAGACTCCGCAGCAAGTTTACTTTGATCATTATTGGAAAATTAATTAGGTAACATTTTTAATCTGTAAGATCGTTAAAAGTACAAAAGCTTACTCGATACTTGTCTATATTGCTATGATATCAAACCATGTTATTCTGCGTATACAAACATCTCTCTGCGAATTGTTATTGTAGAACTCCGGCATCAGTTAAAATGTTCAACATTGGCTGATCAGATTATTAGAGTTCGTTATGAGCAAAAAAAATACCTATATATTTATAAATATATATAAAGATGCGTATAATACAATTAATCTTGTTTCTTCTTATTTTTCAAAGAATGAAAGAGCAAATAAAATTTTATTCACTCGTTTTCAAGGGTATAATGGTCACGTGTACTTTTTCAAAACTGTACCAAAGGTCAATTATTTAGAAAAACAGATATTTTCGCCACTATTTTCGCAAGAAACGAACATAGCAAAAGCTATTGCCGTTTTGAATTTAAGATTGACGTGAAAAATCAACCCACAGAATGTTTGTAATACGATGACAACTATGGACGCTGGAATGTATAATACAATGTACTGTTCTGGTCGTTCAGTTCTGTTTATGTAAACCATATGCGTCATTTATTTAAAGCATAGGGCGTACTGCGGTGAATAGGAGGTTCATCATTAGTATTTGGATATCTGTTTAAAAAAACCTTCTAAAAGGGAAATCCAGGTATTGAAATTAAAACACATTTAAAGTACAAACATCAGTTTATATGTGTAGAATCTACGAACATTAGGTAGTCATCAGGCATGTTTGTTCGATATCTTATCTAAATACCGTTAGACACACACCAAGTGATATTCGATACGGCTTTACTGTGGGTAGTAAAAAGGTTTAAACAATGTCCACTTGTCCTTTGTACAAGGTTTGTAAAAGAGCAGTCAATAAACCCCTTATTCAGACATTGCTTCATAATTCTTACTAAAGGTTCTAGTACTTTGCTCATCGGTTGTCCACTATTTCTCATTTCGGAAAATTTTATTGTCAATAATAAATGGATTTCAAAAAGGATGTCCCCTATTTAGTGATAGTACGTGAATAACTATTGATTACCAAAGCCGAAAAGCATTGTATTTTTCATAAAGTGAGCTTTATTGTTATGCGAGATACAGTAAGAGACATAACCTAGGATCATCTACAGCCAGGTCTTATAGCAGGGATGGTTTATTCAAAGATCAAACAGAACACGTATTAAGTATAAATCAAACAGCAAGGACTGAAATATATGCTATGCGACACAATCTACACTAAACGTCATCGGAAATGCTGTGCTACAATGTATATAAGATGCATTTTTAAACTTACACATCATCAGTATTGTTACAACCTGCGTTAGACGTCATTACTGTTGAATACGTCATTAGCACTCTTGTGACATACAATATTGCGTAAACATCATATATATGTACTTAACCGGAAAAGTATATCACCAAGCAAAGTGTTACGTAATGACAACAGGGTGGACACTCCTCGTTTTCAACCTGTTAATTGGTAAGTATGATATTTTTTAAGTTGATGTGTATGAATCATGTTGAAGGTACATCGTGTTGAAGGTACATCGACAAAATATGTTTTGTGCTTTTTGACACTTTTAGTCACTCTTTTAATTTATAGTTAAAGTCAATGGGCACCTGTTCATCGACACTATTTACAATGATATTCGTTGACAATAGTAACAGGCAAGTTTACTGAATATTTTACGTATGCTTACCACACTAATTACCCATTATGTGCGAAAAAAACGACATATATCCAGTCCACCATATGACAGTTCCTATACAGTGAAACAATCTGTTTCGTTTCTTGCTATATGTGTTAGTGAATGTGAAAAAAGACGGTAGGCATTTGGAGTCAAAAATGTATTTTGACTTACTTTCTCACCGCAGAAATCACATTTCTGACGAAAATGCATAACGATATCAAAACAACTTGTCATCAATGAAAGAATGGTATTTTGTTCTTGATTAATCTATCATGTGTTCCGCAGAAACCCTCAGGAGATCCCACTCTTCCTCTCTCTCTCCATCTACGTACAGGTCAGTTCTCCACTCAATGTACTCTAGCTATATACTCGTGCCACCTCTGTCCTCTATGTACTCTAGCTATATACTCGTGCCACCTCTGTCCTCTATGTACTCCAGCTATAAACTCGTGCCACATCTGTCCTCTATTTACTCTAGCTATATACTCGTGCTAACCTCTGTCCTCTATGTACTTTAGCTATATACTCGTGCCACCTCTGTCATATATGTACTCTAGCTATATACTCGTGCCACCTCTGTCCTCTATGTACTCTAGCTATATACTCGTTCCACCTCTGTCCTCTATGTACTCTAGCTATATACTCGTGTCACCTCTGTCCTCTATGTACTCTAGCTATATACTCGTGCTAACCTCTGTCCTCTATGAAATATAGCTATATATTCTTGCCACATCTGTCCTCTATGTACTCTAGCTATATACTCGTGCTAACTTCTGTCCTCTATGAAATCTAGCTATATACTCGTGCCCCCTCTGTCCTCTATGTACTCTAGCTATATACTCGTGCTAACCTCTGTCCTCTATGAAATATAGCTATATATTCGTGCCACATCTGTCCTCTATGTACTCTAGCTATATACTCGTTCCACCTCTGTCCTCTATGTACTCTGGCTATATACTCGTGCCACCTCTGTCCTCTATGTACTCTAGCTTTATACTCGTGCCCCCTCTGTCCTCAATGTACTCCAGCTACATCCTCGTGCCACCTCTGTCCTCTATGTGCTCTAGCTTTATACTCGTGCCACCTCTGTCCTCTATGTACTCTAACTATATACTCGTGCCACCTCTGTCCTCTATGTACCCTAGCTATATACCCGTGCCACCTCTGTCCTCTATGTACTCTAGCTTTATACTCGTGCCACCTCTGTCCTCAATGTACTCCAGCTATATACTCGTGCCACCTCTGTCCTCTATGTGCTCTAGCTATATACTCGTGCCACCTCTGTCCTCTATGTACCCTAGCTATATACCCGTGCCACCTCTGTCCTCTATGTACTCTAGCTTTATACTCGTGCCACCTCTGTCCTCTATGTACTCTAACTATATACTCGTGTCACCTCTGTCCTCTATGTACTCTAGCTATATACTCGTGTCACCTCTGCCCTCTATGTACCCTAGCTATATACCCGTGATACCTCTGTCCTCTATGTACTCTAGCTATATACTCGTGTCACCTCTGTCCTCTATGTACTCTAGCTATATACTCGTGTCACCTCTGTCCTCTGTGTACCCTAGCTATATACCCGTGACACCTCTGTCCTCTATGTACTCTAGCTATATACTCGTGCCACCTCTGTCCTCTATGTACCCTAGCTATATACCCGTGACACCTCTGTCCTCTATGTACTCTGGCTATATACTCGTGTCACCTCTGTCCTCTATGTACTCTAGCTATATACTCGTGCCACCTCTGTCCTCTATGTACTCTAGCTATATACTCGTGCCACCTCTGTCCTCTATGTACTCTAGCTATATACTGGTGCCACCTCTGTCCTCTATGTACTTTAGCTTAAACTCGTGCCACCTCTGTCCTCTATGTACTCCAGCTATATACTTGTGCCACCTCTGACCTCTATGTACTCTGGCTATATACTCGTGCCACCTCTGTCCTCTATGTACTCTAGCTATATACTCGTGTCACCTCTACAGGTCAGTTCTCCACTCAATGTACTCTAGCTATATACTCGTGCCTCCTCTGTCCTCTATGTGCTCTAGCTATATTCTCGTGCCACCTCTGTCCTCTATGTTCTCTAGCTATATACTCGTGTCCCCTCTGTCCTCTATGTACTCTTGCTATATACTCGTGCCACCTCTGTCCTCGATGTACTCTAGCTATATAGTCGTGCCCCCTCTGTCCTCTATGTACTTTAGCTTTATACTCGTGCCACCTCTGTCCTCTATTTGCTCTAGCTATATACTCGTGCCACCTCTGTTCTCTATGTGCTCTAGCTATATACTCGTGCCACCTCTGTCCTCTATGTATTCTAGCTATATACTCGTGCCACCTCTGTCCTCAATGTACTCTAGCTTTATACTCGTGCCACCTCTGTCCTCTATGACGTCACTCAAACATATGGCGATGGTAAAAAAATCAGAAAATTATCATATATGACATGACATGATAAAAAAGGCCTTGCTTTTGTTTCCATTTTATATGAAATTGTTGTATTTCTTTATCGAAGTTTTAATTTAAACTCGGCACGACGCTCATATCGAAACGTTTAGACACATTTGAAAAGTGAACTTATTTTATATGATTTTTTAAAGCTTTTTTTACTGATGAATGTGTAAATTAGCTAATGCTTACCGTGATCTTCATGTCTTTGTGATACTCACAGGCAGTGTGGTGAGTACTCAAGTGTCGGAATACTGGCAGACTGATTCAGACACCACGTGGCAAACAACAACAGGGACGGTGGTATTTACGTCAGCAGTCCGACGTCCGTTCGACTGTGCGTCCATCTGCGCATCCGTTACGGGTTGTTTGGTATTTGGCTTTAGTGACGTCACGGGTATCTGCCAAGGGTACAGCCAATTACAAACTCCTACGGGAACCAGTACAGTGTCTGTTCTTGGATCTACAGAGATCATTTACAAGAATAAGAAAAGTTTGTAATTTATTCATTTCATGATTTTTCTCTTGTTTTGTTCCCTGAACATTCTTCCTTTAGAGAATTGTACTATATTGATACCATAGGAGAGTGAATAGAGGTAGTCACGAGCTGGTGTTGGATAAGCCAGTGGCAGCACTTACTGTCGGGGGCCGAAGCCAGAGACGGTACTTCCTCTTGTGTATCACCAAACGAGCGATTTATCCTTCCTAAAACACATACATGTATATAGTATATAGATGTACCCCTATTGAGCCGAGATCGTTGGATGGACACCAATATGAATGGGATATGGATATCCTCTAGGGTTAAACTAGAGACTCCTCATGTCAAATGCATTCACTAACAGACTCACGCTAGTGTGTCATGGTTCAGTAATCATCAATGTACCTTAAGTTTTAGCAAAGTCACAAGTTATGCGGCAGACAAATAAGATGTTCCGATTTCTTTGATGACCAGTAAGTGCAGGTGTGATGAGCCTGTGAGATGGTTTGTTTATCATACATATTAGCTATAAGATTACGATTCAGTTACTGATTTTGTCCTTAGTGTTTTAGTTAAGGGAAAGAAGAAAAATAGTTCTGGTTTGCAACTTGCTAAAATTAAACAAAAAGTACATTGATTTAATAACTATGTACCAATTAGTAAAAAGCGTATTAAATTGGCTACGATTGACTGATTAATCTAGAATTCATAAATGGTTAACAGTAATTGATACTGATAAATATTTAAATGAACCCTAATATAGGAATGGTAACAGCATTACATCAAATAGAAGTAGTCATAATAAACGATTGATTGTTAACAACATTAAAATGTCACAAAGGAGACATGCTTGTTAACATCCTAGCCTAATTACAGATACTAGTGATACATGTCCATGTTTGAAATATCGAGCTTTGGAGAAGATTAAAAAGATTGAGGTAATACACTGTACTTATCTTCAAAAATAATGAACCCTATGATTGGAAGAAAGAATAAAGTCTCGAGAAATGGTTTGCATATGTTTACTCTGAAGTTGATCATTTTTTTTCATAAAGCATTACATTCAGTGTTCATTTCCTATTCATTTTCAACTGTTTGCATGCAATCTACGTTTTGATGTGATACTTATCATTTTTATTTATCACGCATTTGAAAAAAACCCAGTGTTATTGAAGTTTCGTTTTACTGTTGATAATATTCAAATATCAAACTTTTGAACAGGTAAAGGTCTATTCATATATCTAATGGGTAACCGTTGGATATATTAATAGATCACTATTTATCTAATGGCCATTCAACTTATCTAATCCTTAGCTGTCGAATAGAGGAAATCAACAATTAGTAACATAATAAAAGATACCATCAAAAGGTTTTAACGACTGATTATCCTGACCTAGTTTCAAAATATAGAATTAAAGTCTTGAAAACTGGAAAACAATGTTCACTGTGGCTGTTGAATTCGACACCAGATGAAATGGCGGCTGCTTCATGTCACAATCGGGAACCGTTGACATTTAGACGTTTCACGAAAATTTCACGTTTACGCAAAGTACCGACGGTTTCCGATTGCATGTAATGCATGACTCACTCCCCTTCCGGAACGACTAATCTTTGACTCTGGATTTAAGTGGTATTACAGTTTATCTTTCCTATTTTTTGATATTTCCTAACTTACTAGTGTGTCTTGTCATTGAACTCTTAACCAAAACTTAAAAAAATGATATATATAAGTATAAGCATTGTATGACGTATACGCTTTGAGATCTGAATTTGTCTTGTAAGATGGTGTTTTTTTTTACTTAATTCTGTATCGTTGATAGCATCTCAGTACACTGAATTCGTGTTTCCTTATCGATTTCTCTTGTAGGTTGTGTCCGAGCCGGATTTGAATTTTTACAGGACGGACACATCTGTGTGAAAATATTTACCGATGCCGTCGACTGGGACGACGCCAAGGCGAGTTGTGAAATGAACCATGGTCGACTCGTCATCATCGACACAGAACAAAAATTGAACGCACTTTCCGAGTATCTAGGTATGTCACTTTACAAACTAAAAATATCCTATGACATATGTATACAAATATACTTAACCGTATTGCAAATATCTGTAGATAGCAAGGCATAAATGTATATATAAAAAATATATATAAATCTAAATATGTACCAACATACATGCAACACATTCAACTAGATTTGTTTAAATATAATTATATGTATATCTACTTTGTAGATATGTCGTACACCATAATACATCCAGTTTTATGACGAGACAGTGAAATGTGTTATACGTACGTCGCTTGGTTTATTAGGTGGGGTTCTTGCCTATGTTAAAATTCCGATAGACCCTTCCCACGCAAGGATTTTCATGAAACTTTACAAGTACTTTAATCATACCATGGCTGAACAGAAACAATAAGTTTTCATCGAAATCATGCATAACGAAAATCCCTACATGGCCTGACATGCATTTTGTCAAATGAATGCATGTTACCTCCCTTTGAAGCTCCATAACATTTCTCTTTCTGTATTTTTTCCATGAACAATGTTTATATTGATTACAGACATGCTAGCATTTAACATTATGCCAAATTTGAATACGTCGGTAAGATAGTTTAGTTGACAGTAAACAAAAACTGACCAGGTTGTCATCATTTTTCTGTTGAAATTGCTAAAGTATGTTATTTCAAACAACAAATTTTCGAAGTTCCACAGAGTGTCTCATTAAAATGTTATATCAAAATTTATTTTGGTTATCTTACTATCAACTATCAAAGATATATATCTAAAATTAAACATCGGGAAAGTGTTTTTTCCATACTGTTGAATCTCTTCAACACAAGCTTGTATTTATCTAAATCTAGGTCACAGATGCACATTTTCCAATCATGATGTTTTACTGTCAGTATATGCATAACTTGTATCACTATCCATTAATTTGGAAAAACGAATGTCCGATAGTATGGATGCATACCAAATTTCAAGAAGGGGGAGGTTTTTTTTAGGGCAAATAAACAGATTTGGTTATACTACCTTAATTTGCCTACTACTTGTATTGCATTTTGGCAGAAAACAATCAGTGTTTGGTTTATTTCCATACTCCTGTATCAATCACCCATCGTCCCATAGCTAAAGAAAGTTGTGTGGTGGGGGGATATATAAATGATCAGCGCACAGGCTAGACTGGATCAGGCTAGATTGGGGCACAAACCAAAGACCTTCCGAGTACAAGGACTCTCTACCAACTGGGCTATCGCAGACGAAACCCCATATCAGCAAACAACTGACTTCTTAGAATTAGACACACGTTTACAAGATAGTTCTGATGAAGTTTGCTTTTGCACACATTCCAACAGTTTGCTTACCAGTGGGGCAAGTACAGTAAAAGTCTTTGATAGGATCTGTGAAATCTACAACATCAAACTGAATTCATACATTGTATTTTGTTTGTGATTTATGTCTAGAATTAATCTGACCCCGGAGCAAACCGGTTGAATGTAATGCACCCAAACCTCAAAGTAACATGAGGAAGTAAAATGTTCCGCTATATATTCTGCTACTTGCTGAACAAGGTCCAGATATACTGTATACAGGTTTTTTCATGTTATACATTTAATTGTCAGCAATAATGATAATGATAATGATCATGATCATACATTGTAGATGATGCTGATATGTTGTTGATGATGATGTCAACTATTTTTAAAGACTTACGAAGATGAGACACTCAAGAAAACTTAAAAAATAGACTTTGAATGTTCAGTGTGATTTGTTTATCGATACTTTAAATGGAGTCTGGTCTTGTAAGCCAGTTCATTTTTATATTAAACTCTTAAAACATACAAATTACATATTAATGGTATGCTCAGTGTCCACACAAATATAATTTGAAACATCTATAAAATCAATCCTGATTGTGTGTACTTATGACTTCAACTATTGGGGTACACCCTAATTTTCAAGGAAAACACCAATACAGGCCCTTTCTGCCTTTTCTTTACAAACTTTAAAATAATAATATTGGTTTCACCAGAATAATAAAATTGCAAAGTTTGAATAAAATCCATGCGTGGACAGATTAAGAACCCCACCTTTTAAAAATCAATTCAAAAGTTGTTATTTGAATATGTGTGACAGTAGGATTTTGGATTGAGATTGGTCATGCGTTTTACTAGGGTTATCCTAAATACATATTTTTGTGTTTACAGGAAACATGGTCTATGACCACGAACGTCTGTGGATTGGCGCCACAGATTCGGCAAACGAGGGTAACTGGGTGTGGTTGAACGGGGAGGGGGTCGACCAAACCTACTGGGACGACGTCAAACTAAACGATTTTTGCATAGAAAGATTGTTCGCTAACTCCGCTGATTGTGGTAGAATAGTGGATAAGGATCTCAGCGATGATCACTGCAGTCTTGATCAGAAGTACGTCTGTGAGAGGACCGACATCGTATAGTGTTTTTCTTGTGAGAGTATCGACATTATTATACATCTTCTGGTAGAAAGAAAGACTGATGCACGTTTTTTTATTAAAACGATTTTCAGTGTTTTTTACTCGCTTTTATATTGTTATAAATATATATACCATTTTACTTCGGCTAATTAACTCACTAAACGTCAGTAACGTCAGGCTGATCAAACACCAGGGCCCGGTTATCCAAAACTATCGTTAAGCTAATATAACGATGTCGTTAAACCATAGTTTGCGAGTCGTTAAAAGTTAATAGTCAACGACGTCGTTAATTGTTGTTCAAAATAATTTAAGAATTAACGACTGCGTCAAAACAAGGAATAGTTTCATACATGGTATTCTCTTGATATTCTGATCCATTATTTTTGTGTATCTCTGTTATAAATCAGCTTATTACCTGGTAATAGGACAATAGGTATGTGTCTATGATACCACTCATCTCGATTCAGAACAGACCAACTACGGCTATCCAGATTGCTTCCTTTATTTGCCGCTTTAACAGATAAATTTGTTCCCTCAGTCCAATACATTTAGATTATCCCAGTCAATAACACTTAAGGATATATCGCCAAATATTTAAACGTCACAAGATATATATTTACATTCGCTCCCATTGAAGCTGTGTAAACCGTGATTGCGTATACATTACCGTATACGCAGTGAGATTCCTTGGAGACCATTGTTTCCTATTGATGACGTAATTTACTTTGTGACGTCATAATGGTAACGTTGGAGATCCATCGCTGCTCGCAGGCTGTAGGCTGTTCATTTTGTTTGGATTTACGCACGTTACAGAGGCTTTGTACCAATATAAAAGCAAATGTATTGGAGTTAGCTTTATTCTGAGTGTACCATCATAGTACGAAAATATGTAAATATAAGAATTGACCTTCATTTTGACTGCGTATACGGTAGTATGGACGCAGTTGGCAACGAACATATTCTTTAGGGAGCGCTAACGCGCTCCATATAATATGTTCGTTTCCAACTGCGTTCATACTACCGTATACGCAGTCAAAATGAAGGTCAGTCCTTAAATAGACTTACAATGAACAAAGCCAATTGTATGAATCTACGGAGCACTTTATTCCGTGCGAAGGGGAAGAATGCGTAATCTACTAAACTTACTTGTTCCATATATGCTTTTGTCTAATGTGTTTTGCAAGTTATCAACGTCGTTTCCAGTCATGCGTTGCACATTGATATATATATATAGCAACAAATATTTTTTTCAAGAATGATATTTTACTTCAAAACAGTTGTTGAGTATAGTGACCAGTTCGTGTAGACAGTCTCTGGCTAGTAGTATAACAATTTATTCAGATAATTAAATTATAATACATTTTAAATAATGCGTTTCTTAGAGTAAAAAACCCGGAAACAAGACAAGACGGCCTCTATCGCTCACCTAAATTCTTAATTTATATTGTCCTGTACTACAAATATGCGCAAACTCCATCCCAGCCAAATATTATAAATTTATGCTCCAAGATGATTCAGAAGGAGTCGTTTAAATGTTTGACATATTTGACCCCTGTGACCTTGTAAGAAGGTCAAGGTCATTTTCTTTTTTAAACTTTGTCGGGTTCTATCCCAGGAAGCAAACAGCCAAATATGAAGATTGTATACCTATCAGTTCTTCAGAAGAAATCGTTTGAAGTGTTTGACACATTTGATCCCTAAGACCTTAAAAGTAGGTCAAGGTCATTATCATTCTCAAACTTTGTCGGGCTCTATCCTAGTAAGCCACCAGCCAAATATGAAAATTCTATACCTTTCAGATCTTCATTAGATGTCATTTGTAGTGTTTGATATATTTGACTACTGTGACTTTGAAAGTAGGTCAACGTCATTATCATTTTCAAACTTTGTCGGGCTCTATCACGCGAAGCCACCAGCCAAATATGAGGATCATATACCTTTCAGTTCTTCAGAAGAAGTCGTTTGAATTGTTTGACACATTTGACCCCTGAGACCTTGAAAGTAGATCAAGGTTATTTTCATTCTCAAACTTTGTCTGGCTTTATCCCAGGAAGCAACCAGCTAAATATCTAGATTCTATACCTTTTAGTTCTTTAGAAGAAGTCGTTTGAAGAGTTTGACATATTTGACTGCTGTGAACTTGAAAGTAGGTCAACGTCATTTTCATTCTCAAACTTTGTCGGGCTCTATCACATGAAGCCAACAGCCACATATGAAGATTCTATACCTTTCAGCTCTTCAGAAGAAGTCGTTTGAAGTGTTTGACCAATGAGACCTAGAAAGTAGGTCAAGGTCATTTTCATTCTCAAACTTTGTCAGGCTCCTACCAACAAAGCTTTCAGCCAAATATCATGGCTCCACGCCTGTCGGTTCTTCAGAAGTTGTTTAAAGGAAAGGTTGACGGACGACGGCGGCCGCACAATGACATACGCTCAATTGCCCTTAAGGCAGGTGAGCTAAAAAGTGCTAGCTTATTGCCGTAGAAGACGACACCAATACTTCACATTGTGGTTCTTGTCGTTGTTTTCGTTATGATGTATCACCTACAATGTATATGGAATAGGGCTGCAAAATACAGATAGTGTGGCGAGAAGTATTTACACACTCGTTATATAAATTGAAACTAACCAGTCATTTTTTCTTTATTTGTAAACTCAAATAATTCTGGATTTTATACTCCTCGCCTCCCATTTTGTTACGACTAAAAAGGTATATAGAGGAGATATACATGTACAAGTACTCGGCAGTAAAAGCGTGTCGATCGTTCAACGGGAAGTAACTCATGGATTCTATAACAGTGTTGGATTCGAATATGTTAATATTTGATATTGTTTTTCTTCCTGTGGGTAGCTTTTATAATTTCTAGTATCAATAACCTTAATGTTTTTAGTACCACTACCTTAATTTATAATGTTCTGTCTAGCATCAGTAACTTTAACGCTTTGTCTAGCGCCATTACGATAATGGTTTATCTTTTATCACTAGAGCGTCTAATCTCGCCGCCGCCATTAATGCGTTTTCTTGTATCTTTTCTTTTAATTGTATCTCTAGTATTGCTAGCCTTCTTGGTTTGTCTTATATCCCATCAATTTAAGGTTAGTCTGGTAAATTGTCAATTAATGGTTTGTTTAATACTGTTATAGTACTATATCCACTTTCACAACAAGTAAAGGTTTATCTAGTATAAGTTGATTCCAATTCATCACAGGAAAGTATGAAGTAAGATCATGTCGAATACAGGCAGAACGGCATAGAATATTGATAGTCCGTCGATTTATACCAAAATACACAGTAGTTGATAGTCCGTCGATTTATACCAATATACACAGTAGTTGATAAAGAAACAATTCCTTTTGAAGGAAAACATAGAAAGTAAAATAACATAACAAACAATACTGACCGCTGGGTCTATCTGCCCTTTCGGGCTAATGCTTATTTGTCACCTATTATTATTTGTAACTTATTCAACGTATTGTTATATAATCGATGGCGTATATATTTATATTTAAATTTAGCCCACCTCATGTAATTGGTTGGCTGCCAACTAAATATCAGCGAACAGGATGTGCAATCGATATACTTCATGTACTTTGTAGAATGTGTGCATTAGTGATGTAGCTCTTTGGACAATGGTACTACTTTTTCTATGTCCTATACAAACTGTGTTAGGATGACAATTGGTGCGGATACTCTTACAGCGTGTTGTGAAGTTCAAAAATAAGTGTTATGTGTAGATTTGTTCGCATAACGTTACCTAGACAACAAATGTAGTCACTCACTCATTACCTGAAAGACATTGCATTAGATAACGTCATCAACGGTAACAGGAGTAAAGTGATGGATAATCGCTTGATCAATTTCCTATTAGCCTTCATATTTTCATGTATTGGTAAGTATATCTTGTGTGTATTGTTTTGATTCATTGTCTATACAAGTGATATGTTTATCTATATAAGTGTGTCAAGCACATGCATTAATTCATAATAAAAAACTCTTTAAAACATGTGACGTTATAAGAAAATTTTAACAGATTTCAAGATTTTTTGTGAATATTTGTAACAGAAACGGTAAGTCCGAGTGAAAGGTGGTTATTAAGTTTATGTAACTCAAGTGAGTTATTTTCAGATTGTCAAAAATACCAGGTTTACTGAGTGTCTTCAACAATTTGAAAATTAATTAACGAGAGTTGGTTAAATAGAGGTTCCCCAATGAGTGAAAATTAGTTGTCATGTTTATCTAACTCAAGTTAATTTTTAAACTGTATTAAGGCTCTAGGTTTACCGAGTGTATTTTACAATTCGAAAAATAAATACATGTAACGAGAGATAAACATGATAATCAACTATCACGGGGCTGGGGACGTTTTTCTCCCACAGCGTTCAAATGTTATATCTAGGCTACGATTCTCTGGGGAATACATACCTGTGTCTACTCCGGAATCAATTGGCATGTACCACTGTATGACATTACCATGGAAGATGACGAAACAAAGTATTACTTGACATCGTAATTAGAAGATTGACCAATGAAATCACTTCCATGGTGCTACCCACTTGCGTTAACCAAAAATGTTTACTAACCACTAACAGGTTTACCAAACGAGTCGGGAGTAAGAAAACCTTAAGTGGTTGTGGGAGAAATATATAACTGAACCTGGGTTATTTTGCCGATTAAGATCTCATTAATTGTACTAAAGGTAAACAATTTGGATCTAAACTGCTTCGAAAGATATGTAGGTATAAAATAGGGAAATGTGCCCAAATCCTTTATTATGTACATTGTAACACTTACAATTTCAGTTCACAACAGATAACTGATTTTTGAAAGGGCTTAAAAGAGTAATAAAAACAACTAATGAAAACTGTTAAAAAATATTTAAGTCAACATATTATTATTGTCCTCTTGTCATGGAGACAGCAATTTATCAGTGCCATACAACACATTACACAAGTCATGTTATAAACGCACGTTCAATGACTCTTATGGAAGATAAGTTCAATTTACAGTACCGTCACAAAGAGCACAACTCCCAAGAGATACATTTGCACTGTAGAGTAATAAAAGGAAGTCAAAATGTCGATTTCTATGCTTTTAGACGTTTTTCTGTCAGCATGAGAAACGAATCTTAGATTCGCATATATTTCATAACGGATTAATTCTTCACGGCTTTAATTAAAACATCGTTAGGTACTCGCTACAATAATAAGTATATACTAGTTTCATCGTTCTCTCGAAAAAGAAACTCAGGTAAGAGGCATGTTCACCAACATACCCTGTTTCCGGCACACATACACATATGCACATACACACCACACATGGAGGCACGTCCATAACTGACCTAAGCTGTTAATAGGACATTAAACAATAAAAAAAACCTAAAAAAACAAAACCTTTGAATTGTTTTCGTTTCACAGAAGTTGTATTTATTCGCAAACAGCTCTTTTAGCTAGTATGAGTGTATACATGTACTTCTTAATATAATCTCATATATGAAATCGAAACTGATGTAAGACGCCATTTTTGCCAGAGTTTGAAAAGCAACAACAATGCCCACACTTGTTTTGCATTTAACTGATCGGGAGGGGCTACTGTATGTATCACTAGTATACTAGTAATATAGAGTCGGTTGGTCGATTCCGACTTTCTCGGAGTTTATAGTTGGCGTATAAATAACTCGTTTCAACATAGATACCAAATGTACAATGTTTTGTTCGTACAAAACACAACACGAGAATAAGGTAGAAGTGAACTGAATTTAAAAAAACAACAATACGTTTAACTCCCCGTATTGAATAAACAGCCGGGTGCATTACATGATATTCCCACTACAAAGAAAGATGACACGAGAAGTTAACTTAATTTCAGTTGTCAATATTTTACAAACAATATAGCTCACTGTTTGTTATTTTACATGGAGTAACATCCGGCCCTTACGGCACGATTTCTCACCCTGGTGAGAAATCGTGCTAAAATTGCGACGTTCACAACACGATTTCTCAGCCGGGTGAGAAATCGTGTTAGGAGTAGGCATATTATCCGTTATCATGATTTTTGGCGGCTGTGGTATATTTAGGCTTTTTTTTATAGAGGGACTATTTCCAGCTATGTTAAAATTACCTTAGAGCCTGCCCCCTCATAAATTTTGTTTCAGAATTGCTACCAGATTCATACTGTTGTTTTAACTTTTTTCAATTCCTTATATATCCGGTGTTGTTACTTTGAATCATTCTTCTAAATATTTTGATGAATAATTAACCTTATTACAGCATGGTGGTCGAAAAATGAAATATATCAGCCTGAAAGTATTCTGAAAAATAATCGTATTTTTTGCATCGTATTACTTGGGAAAGGACGTTTACTCTCATGTAGTGCTGTTATAATATATTTATCATCCAGAATGTGATTTAAATCGTACATTTTGTGAAAATTTTAATGTAAAATATAGAATTTTTCCTTCTTATTATTCTTGTATACCAAACATTTATCATAGTATGAAGAAGTGGTGTTATTTCAAATATGTTTGCAAAAATGAAGTCCAAAAATGTGGTGGAAAGTATTGATTTTGCACAACAAAGTACCCATTGTGCCCAAAAAGGTGAGGGCCTAAGTCAGCTCCCTGGCGTCCACTTAAAAGCAATGCAACTGATTACAGGTAATTGGTTACGTAAGTCGTTTCAAGCCTACAATAAAACTTTCAGTGCATGTTAGGTCACAAACAATTCCAAATTCCAATTTATTTTATCACATGGCGTGATTGATAAATATTTTGTTAACAATCAATTTTGAGATCAAATGTAATTTTCTTGTCACTTTTTAGAATTTGTTCTTTATATTTTTTATATATATTGTATCATCAGGCTTTCGTTTTTACATTGCTTTTAGGGGCTATTTCATACTCAGTTGTTAATATTCATCTCATAATGAAGAGTAAATGTATTGGTGAAGGTCGCCATCCTATCTTCGCGAAATCTCATAAATGTTAAGGTACACGAAATGTAAAACAAAATCTATAATTGCTTTTGGATACACTGACTTAAAGAGACTAAAGAGAATTTGAAACAGAACGTTACGAAGATGAAACCACTAGTAGTTTTGTGTTCTTAACAATCAAGGACTTGTTTTACAGATCCTGTTCACATATGAAATGTTGTCTTTGTTTTAACAATATTAATTTCTTTATTTTATTGGCAATGACCTAAACCCTTGTACACAGGTTATCCTATAAAGAAGAGAGTCTTTGAACTCTCAAGCATAAAGAAGGTCATCTGAAATAATTGGTGACCTTTTAGAAGTGTCGTATATCTTGTCAAAGAATCAATCAGCCTTCATTCTCAATTTTTGTCTCTTGGATGACCCTGGCTGCAAAGCTAGAACAGGTTGGTCAAAGAACAGTTTCTCAAAATCCATATGTAATTTGCCCCATTTCTTTCTTCTTCAGTATATAACAAAACTGCACAAAATGCTCTTTTACTGTTTTGGGTTAAGAAAAAAACTGATAGCTCTTGTAATTAAATGTTTCGCTCTTAGCATTTCTCTGCCTAGTATTCCAAAAACCTTTCAGTCTTTAGTTCAAGCATTAAATAAATCTATAGTTCCAGTGTTCCTTCGTCCTGACCATTTGAGTAGGGAACATATTTTCATACAATCATGTACTCTCAGAAACATTCTTGCGAGACAGAGTGACTGCCATACTAGATGGTACATATATATTTATGAGCATAACTCTACCGGATGGCTACATTTTGAATACAGTATGACCATTCTCTGGAAGCCGAAATGATGCAAGCATTACAAAATCATCATAAACAAGCTCACATGGTTGGAGCAAGACGACAATGTAGTCGTTGGTCGTAGTTTTAGAGATGTCCTGCCAATGTTAGAGATATCTGGTATTAATACCAGTATGCACGCATATTTTAAGACTGGTCAGAGTCAACACTCTGATTTACAGGCTAACATTGACAGAACAGTTACTAACTCCTAATGGATTGTAGTCTTTTCATTGCCGTATTATCCATTAGATAGTTTTTTGAACTCAATTAGTATCAAATTGCTTCATTGATATACTTATGGGAGTGCTAAAGATTGGGACTGCATGTCTCAATTGGATACGGGGACCAATTTATCAAAGATCACCGGACACTGACAGAAAAGACAGAGAACTCGCACATCAAATGAAGATTCATCTCACAGAAACAAACTGTTTGGCTCCGAGGGTGAAAACAACCAGCTCTCTCCAAATGAGCAGAGTCAGAATTCGTAAAGAATATAAAATATCGTTGAATCAGCACTATCAAAACCTTATCTGTTGCCAGATTTGTTCCAGACACAAAAGCCAGACTAAATATAATGTTTGGATTCAGTACAGCACGACACCAAATTCTAATAATCCAATAAAAGATTACTACTGACAATGCCCAGTTGATCAATGAACCATGGGAATGTGTGCTCATACATCAAGTATACAAAATCCAAAACAGTGGCACCAAAGGGCTAAGATGTTCCGACAAATCTTGAAATAGGTTGTTTTCTTGTGAATCTAATATCACCAGTTTGAAAACAAACTCAAAAGCATCTTTGTTTTTTCTTCCTTCCTTTTCCAAGACTGCCATCGTACAAATATCATACTCTTGCGTCTTTCAAAACATCATCTGTAAATGTCAACAGCTGTTAATACGGCATAAAACTTTAATAAATATACGATAACAAAGTATCGAACAAACACAACATCTCTGAATTCCATTTGTATTGCAAGAACATTGACTAGGAATATGACAACTGATTAGGCAGTAGAATGAATGTTTTGGTGGCCATCTTGAAAAGAATTAACCAACAAATGTTTTCGAAACATGTTCTTTGTTTATTAAATATTCATTCCATTTAAACTGG